TTCACAAACATGTCTATTTCCCTTCTTGGGGACAGGCCCCTCCAGACCCCAACCCACCGAAGCGGGTCTCCTCCGACACGGGTAACGCTGCTACGCCCTTCCCACAGACGCAGAAAACGCCGGGGCGTTCAGTGTTGATACCACACCAAAGCAAACCGCCACATTTCCAGCTCCACGCCACAGCAGCCCTGTACTTCCCCGGTGATGGTAAAACAATGAAAGGCATGCCAAACGCTCAGTGTCGGCGTTCCAGCAAACCTCTCGACCAAGCTAACACGAAACGGCTTTTTCCGGTTTTTCTCTTTTAACTCACCTCATTTGGCTGGAAACGGACAAAGACGACGGTGCCGTAGCATGGTTAATAAAGCTATAAATAAACTATTCTTTTTTTAAAAAACCTCTCTGCTTGTGCTCATTCTGTGTCAGCCGGCTCCCTGCAGCAGCAGCAGCAGCCTTCTACCCTGCCTCGGCGTTCGCTGTTTGGGTTGAGGAAAAGTGATGTCACTGCGTGAAATGTCGTTACCCGCCCCAGTTTCTTTTTTTCAGAGGTCGTCCCATGCTGCCAAACATAACTTCACCATATACTTAAAATGCTCCCCATATGTGTGGCTTTCAGTGCCTTAATATAGGTCCTGCAGGCCTAAAATACTTGTGCAGTGAGCGTCCATCTGGATATCATCAGAAAGACTGTACAGAAACAACTGTACCATAAAATGGTGTATTTGCAGATGTGAAGTGAGAGTCCTTGTTTAACAGACTATGCAATGCAGAACTGAGACTGACAAACTGACTGGGTGAAAGTTTCAGGCAATTTGACCCAGACAGAAATGTGAAAACAGAATAAATACACAACCACAAGACAAAGTACAATCAGTGAAAGCAGTCCAATAGTCTATTAGAAACTGAAGAGGTCATTCTTCTGAGGTCACCTCCAGGAGAGGGCAACAGGGCAACACCTCTTAATACAGCCCACAATTTACTGTGTAGTTTTGTGGTATGAAGCAGGTCTGAATGAAATACTGGTTCCTACTGGTGCAGTGGAAGAAGAAAAGAAGTGGAAAGGGGAAAACAAAACAAAATCACTCTGCTGCTGTAAATACTGGGTGTGTAAGGGGTACAGCAGCGGGAAACTAAACTGAAGTTTGGCATAAATGGTGTAAACAAACCATGCTGCTGTGTAAACAAAGTATAAAAAGGGGCCACGCAATACAAGTCACATACCTTGTTCTCAGCGCGTAAACAAAAGACCCAAAAGAATGACTGAAAGAATGTTCCCTTATTAAACATCATGAGCCACAAACATCTCTACATTAATGCATAATTTGATTTCAGGATGTCCTACTCACATGACAAGAGAAACCTTCCACAGCTGAAAGAAAGGCATGTTTCCCTCCTCGGGCCTGGCTGCTACAAGCCGCTGCTGTGCTGGATTTGCCAGCTAGGAGCAGTTTTTACAGTGAGTACAGATCCATTTCTAAACATATCTCTCCAAGCATGCAGTGAAGTGGAACTATTATATGACAAATTGTTTCCCGGAGTGTGGGTGTAGTTGTAAGGTACCCAGTAATTACAAAAACATTTAGCATGTATTACTCCTTGTCACTCACTGTTTCGTGTTCTTCCACTGTACTGACATTTCAGTACCAGTGAGTATTTTACTAGTGGCTGAATTTATGCAATAAAGTGACACAGTAATCGCAGGCTGTATTATAAAGTGTTACCATGTTCTTCTGATAATGCTGCAGAGGTGGAGCTCGTTCATCTGGGAGCATTGACTGGAGCAGAGTCTGGGAGAGAACTGTCAGTGGCGTCTTATTCACCTCCTACCACCTCTGACACCACCTGGATGGAAGAACAGGAAGTTAGGAGACAAAAGTAGCTTTACTGCTGCTACATTTTAGTGACTGTGTTTTGATCATTTCTGCTGTCATGGCTGAAACTCCTCCGTGGTTGTCATCACTTAACATACAGAGGAGAGGACAGCATGAACTGCTTCCTTTACCGACTTGCTTCCATGAAACAAACTGGTCATCTTATTTTGTAGTCGCTTCACACTGCGAGGCAGGTCCACCAATAGATACAGTAACTGTAGAGCTTAAGGGATGAGGAGAAGCTGCGTCAGCTTTACATTTAAAACCATGATGTGACTGCTGCTACTGTCCACATCTACAACAGCAGAGATGACAATGGGCTCATTATGACTAAAATCTTCAGTAGGACTCTGGAAGACGAAAGACATCCACTAGATAAGGAGTGTGGATTACTGCACAGCCTGTCACACTGACAGTACAACCGCAAGTTCATAACAAGGGTGTAAATTCCATCCGTTATCTATACTGCTTATTCCTGAATAGGGCCGCAGGGGGGCTGTAGCCCATCCCAGCTGACACTGGGCGAGAGGCAGGGTACGCCCTGGACAGGTCACCAGTCTATCACAGGACTGACACATAGACAAACAACCACACACACTCCTACAGCAATTTAGAGTTACCAGTCAACCTAAGCTGCATGTCTTTGGACTGTGGGAGGAAGCTGGAGTACTCAGAGAGAACTCACACAGGCACAGGGAGAACACACAGACTCCACACAGAAAGGCCTCATAAACTTTAAATTATTTTAATGTTGTGTTCTGATGTTGTTCTTTGAATGAATTTTTAATAGCTCTGTTAAAGAACAATTTTTTTTATTCTGTCTTTATTTCCCACATTTTTGTAATCAGCTTTGGTTGATTAAATTGGAAACCATGTAATTTTCATGTTTTTCAGAAAAAAATAAACTGAACCTTTACATAAAGTGACACAGACTGCATCAGTGAGTTACAAGCACTTAAAAGAAGTATTGTATGTGTTTGGGGTATTTGATGTCTTTATTATCAATCCACAGTAGAAAAAGAAGACGGGAAAGGAGGGGAGAGAGATTTGGGCAATGACATGTCCCCAATTGGACTTTACTGAGTTTTTGCAGTGATTCATCAGCACCTCCAGTGCCTGGGCTATCAGGATTTCACAGTCCATGTACCTTAAAATCACTTTGCCAAATCAGCAACCCATGTTATCTGCTAGTCCCTGGCCACAACTGACATCACACCAAAGCTTGTTTACCTTTATGCTACATTTTCAACTAGAATTACCTCTTTACAGTTGTAAGCTTCTACCAGCCAGAGACAAGTTCACAGGAATGGGACAGTGCACAATGATGTACAACAGACATACAACCCAAAAACATGACTCTGAGCATGGCTGTCACAAGCACGGAGACATGGTAAAAACCTCACTCCGAGATTAGCGAGGTGCTGACTCTCAGGCAGACAAAAAATGTGCTGCATTTCCAAACCCAAGCACAGACGGATGATGAAAGCAGAGAAACGTCATTTTGCATAAAAATGAACTGTAGACATGGTCCACCATCACTTTCACTGGAGGTATGTTAGGATGCTCTGACATGTTGTATGAACAGGAGGAACTATTTTATCAATTGCATCCTGTAAGCTCTACAATTCACTCATCGCAAAATGTGACACATAAAACTTGACACCATAGTCTGACACAGACTTTATTAGACCCATTTCCAACAGTACAGTGAACTTGTGAGATTTTCACAGACATTGCACAGTGTACATGTGCTGCCACACAGCAGATTCAAAACATTCAAGATGACAAAGCTCCCACTAAGAGTTAACCTGGTCATCCATGATGGCATCCACATCTCTCTCTGAAAGCCCATGTTCTGACGCATCCAGGTCGACTTGGTCTGGGTCTTCTCCAGTCAGAATCTCCATCGGGGCCTCAGCGATGGCTCTGATGGTCTGGTCTTCCAGGGCCAGGGCCGTGTCAAACTGCAGAGGGGATGGAGGACCCTGCATACCATCCCCCTCCACATCCAGGTCCTGTGTAACAGGGATGTTTACAAACTCTTATTCTTAACATTAAACTTGTTCTACAAGTCATTTTCTGTTAAAAGTATATATTTGTTGTTTTATGTTTCCACCTCCGACAACCAGGTGGAGGGTCCTTGTGCTGGGTTGGCTCAGACCAAAGGTTTGAAAACCTGCCAAAATGAGGGTCTCAGAACTGTGTAATAAATAAGTGATTTTGGCCTGGATTCAAAAGCTAAGTCACTAGTCAGTCCATTAGCTGAGAGTAAACTGTCAAGAGTGATCAACATAGTTGGGCAATATTCCCTGGTAGTCATAGTAACATGCGAGTACGCTGCTGATGATGCAGAAATGAATTCCACCAATCCATGAGTTACCTGTCAATAAGACCTCTCTTGTTTGTAAACAGTCAGTGAGGACTGAGACCAGAACTAGAAGATAACCACAATTTATTTTCCCTTGGTCCAGACCAAATGAACCAGACTACAGACGCCACCAATGGCATCTTTACAAGAAGCCAGGCACATGTGACTCTGTAACTCTAAGGTGAAAAGCTCCTGTAGCCAAGTGCCATTTGATGTAGATGAGTGAAACTATTACTTGGTCAGCGAATGAATCGAAGTCTGCTGTGAACTAGCAATCGAGTACATTGCGTTCTTGATATCTGAACTGCTAAGACCCTGTGTCAAACTCCTTGCTCCTGCCAATGAACCAATGAGTGGATTGAACATTCTCTGTACATTTGAGAACACCCTTAGACTGGCAGCATTTACACCAACCTAAACAACCCAAACCCTTTGAACCAGACCAAACAAGTTAGAGTAGTTGGAAAAGCACCCTGAAATACCAGCAAGAGTATCTAACCACACACGGTATGTTAGAGGAGAGAGGCTGGGGGGCATTATGCTGTATCTACGTACATCACTGAACTCTAGGGGAAGGCTCTCTGTGGGCTGAAGCTCTGCTGTACTCAGATACATGTCTTTGCTTGCAGGGGTGATCTGCTCCTGTGGTGGAGGCTCCTGCTCAGGCTGGTACATTGGAGGAGGCAGGGTGAGATGAAAGGGGCAGCGGGGATCATCGGATTGACCCATGTGCACGGTACGGTCACATGGGACATCTTTCAGGCCTGGACACATTTTGAAAAGCACCTGATTGCTGTCCTGGCAAATGTCTGAGTGCCTGGCTGTCAAGGAATGAACACAAATACACAGACCAAGCAACTGCCCCCATCTTTAAAAGTAAAACCAAAAACCCTTCAAAGCTGAATAGTTACATACACAATGATTCCTGCCTGAGCATTAATACTATGCTCACAATGCAACCTGGGGTCAAATGTAGGTAAGACAAAGTTTTATTCTACTATTTGGTAGCTCTCAGCTAATATATAAAGAAAAAACTACAAATTTTAATTCTATTGATTAGAAAATATAGAAAAGTCTGGGAGTGCCCTAAATGTTTTGCTATTAAAAAGACAGCAGGTTGAGAAGGGATTTTGTTCCTTCCAACTGAACTGATTAGTCCCTTTGTGACTCTGGGAAAAATCAACAGACCACAGGAAGGAGTTTATGTGGGCTCCCTTTGAAACCAACAGCTACTGCAAGCTGCTGGTCTTGATCAGGGCCAAGGTGAATATGGGACAAACAACAGTCTGTAGTTTAAAGTTGAAATTAATCAGATATTTACATAAAAAACAAACAAACATAATATTCTTTCATTCAATAGAGGAAAACACAGTTCTTGTATGGAATCAAACCATACTATTGTGGTTTACATCATGCTAAAACCATCATTGAGGATACGTGAAACACAGTGTTGAGCCATAGGCAGGCAGGGATTACTACACCGGATTCCTTCTACAAAGGAGACACATTTCTCATGCACTGTTCTCGAATGTGGCTACAAGAGAGGAAAGAAAAGAGGAGTGTTAATTGAGCTTTGGAGCTAAACTGAAGCAAACATCAAGTAAACAGCATTTCTTTTATAACCACAATCATCCTCAAGCACATTATCACATCATTAATGGATGCCACAAAATTGTCAGAAAATTCCTAAGGTTTCACTAAATTGTCTGTTTAATGTGCCTCATGCCATAGGGTTTTCTAATATCAGATTCTGGTGCACCCATAATCGCAGAGCAAAATGTCAATACCAAAAGTATCCACAGTCATGGCCAAAAATATTGGCACCCCTGGATTTGTGTCAGATAACACACCATTTCTCCCAGAAAATTGTTTCAATCACTAATTTGTTTATTTCTTTTGTTTGCATTAGAACAACCCAAAAATCAGAAAAAAGTCTAATGTGATCCATTCCACACTGAACTCCAAAAAAGCACTGGACAGAATTATTGACACCCTCAAATTAATATTTGGTAGCACACCCTCTGGACAAGATACCTGGAATCAGTCACTTCCTGTAACCATCAGTGAGTTTCTTCCTCCTCTCTATTGGAATTCTGGACCACTCTTCTTTTCCGAACTGCTCCAGGTCTCTCAGATTTGAAGGGTTCCTTCTCCCAGCTGCTGCTCTGAGATCTCTCCACAGCTGATTTATAGGATTTAGATCTGGACTCATTGCTGGCCACTTCAGAATTTTTCAGCTCATTGTCTGAAACCATTTCTGGTGCTTTTTGAATTCTGCTCTGGGTCATTGTCCTGCTGTAAGACCCATGACATCTGATGGAGACCCAACTTTCTGACACTGGGCCCTACATTGTGCCCCAGAATTCATTAGAGATGGACTTGTAGCTTTGAGACTGTCCAAGCTTTTCTGCTGTTGTGTTTCTCAAATCATCAGACAATTCTTTGCTCTTCTTTCTTTTCTCCATGCTCAGTGTGGTCCACACGACACAAAGGTTGAGTCAACTTTTCTCCATTTTAACTGGTTGTCAGTGTGATTTCTATGTTGCCAGCACATGTTGGTTGCTACAGGTGAGTTTCAATAAAAATTAAAGGAGCATCACATGCTGTTACAACTTTAATAAACATGCTATAATACAACTATTTCTGATGAAGTGTCAATAATTCTGTCCAGTCCATTTTTGGAGTTCAGTGTGGAATGGATCAGATTAGGCTTTTTCTGCATTTTTGTGTTGTTCCAATGCAAACAAATGAAATAAACATGAGAATACCAAAGAATTTGTGATTGCAACAATTTTCTGGGAGAAGTGGTGTGTTGTCTGACAGAAATGCAGGGGTGCCAATATTTTTGGCCATGACTGTATTTTCCCAGTTTGCTGACCTCTGCTTTATCACAGATTTTCCTAAGGACTACTATATTTCTTCATTAACAATGTACACAGTTAGAGTAAGTGGGATGTTGTTTCTGCAAAGACAAACTGCACTGGAGTTTACAAATCCCAGCCATAATTCCTGCATGTGCACTTGGATAGTGGCAGATGTTTCAGCCTGACCAGACACCTGAAACAATGTGCATACCCAGATACAGCTAAGGCTAAATGAGAACGATTGTTGTACTTTGGAAACTAAGGTTACATAGTCAGTTCACCAGTCTTAAACCCTCACTAGAGCCACTCCTTTCTACTTTTGACAGCGGTGGGGGTCGCATACCTGAGGAGCCCCTTCTGTCACAGCCTGCCTCCTCTCCCTCAGCTGCCGGTGCAGCAGGGCTTCCATGCCATACCGACAACGGTATCGACGCAGAGCTTTGAGCTTTTTCAGGTTCTCCCTCTCCTTCATGGACAGTCCTTCAGGGCCTGTCAGCAGACTACTCCCTGTTATCAACATGAACAAATACTAATAACCACTGAGGGGGACATTTTCCTAAACTCAACTGTTGGAAATGAAGCAGAATACATTTAGTTAGTAACCAATTAGTTGCACATTTACCTAGAGTTTCATGCTCCACTTTGCGGTTGTGCAAGTATCGACGCTTTTTCTCCTTCAGCAGGTGCTGTAGGCGTTTGAACTGGTCAATATAGAGGGACTGGAGCCTGATGAGTTTTTCTCGAGTGATGAGCGCCACTTCCTCTGCTGTGTACACTCCTGCGTGTCTGCAATTGCACCAAAAAAAGAAACAACTTTACAAATGTCTAGAGCTGTCACTGCTCTACATGACTTTCTGAGAAATTCAAACCAACCTTTAAATAAGGCATTTTACTACATAGTTATATACAGCATGTAATATATGCTTAATGTCATAATGTACTGTTGTTGCACTAAGTATTCAAACCTATAGCCGTTTTCATACATGAACTCCAGACTATGTCAGTGGAATCAGGCTCAGACTTTGTCAAGAGTTGCCCTTTTGCACATGCAACACACCACAGGAGGTATTTCATGTCAGATGCATTATCACCCACTGGACATACATTTGGTTTATGTGCGGGGGTGCACCTGTGTGGAGGAAGGACATGACGTAGTAACATAGCCAGTTTCTAAATTGGTCATAAACAACAGAGTCTCTTGTCTTGTCTGATGATTCTGGCAGGGAATTGTTCCTGAATCACATTGTGTATATATTCTTCTGTGTCTTCATTGTAAATAACCAATTTTCTTCACCATCAGATGTTTGTATTCTTCCGGTTTCACACCGGTCACATGATAGAATGTCATCAACACGCCCACTAGCTCAACATCAATACTCCAGACTATACGCGCTGCTGTATTCTCACATGGGCTCATTCCAGCTCACTCAGACTATGTACTGCAGAGCTTGCAGAGTCTGGATCAATTGACTCAGAGATTTGCCTTCTTGCATACAGCTCCCCTGAGTAATGTCTAGAGAAATTCAGGGTTCCAGTGCATATCTGAAAAGGGCATAAGTTAGAGTTTTATACAGAACAAGAAATGATTCGATACATGTGCCTTTGGATGTCAACCTGACTGACAAAGTCACTGATAATTAAAATTCACAAATAATATTATAATATACAAACATGTAAACTTGTTTTATCTTTCTACATCCGTTTCACATTTTTGTTTTCAGTTGTGAGTAGCTCCTCAGTTCCTTTTCCTTCTTGCTAATGTCTTTTATTTTGTTTGCATACTCGTTTGATATTAAGTTATGTTGCTAATCTACCAGTGCACACATTCAAACCCTGCTAAAAACTGGCTTGTTGTAAGATGCTGGGACACTGCTATTGCCTGATGTGAATAAATAAAGATCCGAGTCCGCATCCAGAATAAGAAGATGCTTATTTACACTGCAATATAAATCCAATCAAGTGACCATGCGAGTTCACACTAAAACATGGTCAGATAATTAGGCTTACTTCAGAGGATCCTCATGATCACTGTCAATGCTGTCGGCTTCACTGTCAGGGTCTCCTCTCCATGTCTGGTCAAGTACCAGGGGTCCCTGCTCCTCTTCACTCAGACTGTCCTCATCTGCCCAGAGAAGGTCTAGTTAAACATCACAGTCATATTTGTACATAGATGATTAAATAAACTTCAGGAGAAATGACTACATTAGTTTCCCTCCCTGCAGCAGAATTCACCTCACTGAGGTGTCTGGAATTGACAAGGCATTCCTATTCTGAACTAGACTTACCTATAACACGACTTGCTTCAGAGCGGCCTCCATCACGGCTGTGTGTCTCTGCACGGTTGTATCCGCTAAGCTGAGATAGCAGTGTCTCTGGGGACGGACCAGAATATGCCTTTCTCATTTGAGCCCGGAGAGCCATGGCATTCCTCTGAGCATGCTCTGCACAAAATGTCACTCTAGACAACAGAGAGAGTCATTGGAGAAGAGACATCCAGGGATGCAACCTGCATATCGAGGCTTACAGTAAGTAAAGACCTCTGGTTTCCACTCACCCGTCTTTCCTCTCGACCTTTGGTGCAGCATTGGGGCATCGCTTGCCGTTTTTTGCAGAGACATAGCTGCACTGCTTGTATGGTGCATTCTTGTCCTCCAGAATATGTTTGATGCAGAAGTCCAGGCCTTCCAAGCGAAGCTGGGAGCATGGTCTCTGGGTAAAGGAGCAGGCCTGGGGCTCCTGGGGTCGGGCTGTCTGGGTCACCCGGTTCCGACTTGATGGCAAAACATGGATTCGTATCCTGTTCATTGCAAGTCTGCACAATATATTAACAATGTAAATATTTTGACAATTTATTATTCAAGTAATTTTTCAAGCAAATATGACAAACAATCTTCAGATCCAGCAGATGAGATGAGAGAATGATGTTGCAATGCTGGCTGGACAGAACATCTGAAAACTCTAAGACAACACAAGGAGCATTTTAAATAATAGAGATGAAATGACTAGTCCAATGATTAACTATTAACAGTTTGGATAATTAATTATTTGACTTTTTTCCAAACATTTCTTCAATGTGAGGATGTGTTTCCTAATCTTAGTCACTTAAGAGATGTAAAGTGACTGTCTTCGGGTATACAGGTGCATTTCATTTTTCATTTCATTTGACCTCAGCCTCTAAAAATTTACAATGCACACATTCTTTATTATTTTCTTACATTTTACAGACTAAACAATAAAATATTAAATAACAGTTTGAGTCATTAGATTAAAAGAGAAGAGTCAATTAGTTACTATTTGAATAATCAATCAAGTAATTGAGAATTTGAATTAGTTTTTTCCCAAAGGAAAATTGCCAAACATTGACTATTTTCAGCTTCTCAAATGTGAGGACATTATTGCTTAATCTTTGTCACCTATAATATTAAACTGAAAACCTTAGTAAGATGATATGAGAACATTTAAAACATCACCTTGAGCTCTGGCAAACATTTTGTTATCCGACATGTTATAAACAAAGCCATTAATCAAGCCATGAAGCATACTGGGGTAAACCAACTAGAGATTAAATGAGCTCAAGCGAAACTTAGATTTGCTACATTTTTATACATAAAATACGAGACATTCAGTGGTCTCAGCTTCTCAAATGTGAGAATCTGTTGTCTAATCTTCCAGCATATTCCTATATTAAACTATGAAACAATTAGCTTGTTCTCCAGGAAAATACAATGAACGTGTTCATTTTAATGTCAAAGTCATATATTAATATTAAAACTGATGCGGTTTGTGAAGACTGCACAAAAAATACGACTATATGTGACTGAGGAATTTCAGAGAAACACATTTTAGAAATCCAAGTTTTATCATTTATCCCATTATTTATAATCTTGGTCCAAAGGCCAATGTTAAAGTGAACAGATTTTAAACACACACGATGTAAACATGGTTACATGAATCTCAATAAATAAGCTGAAGCGATATGAGTGAAAAGTAGTCCCGGTGTTGTGTCAGGATCTGTTCCCCCATTGAGGTGCGTTTCCTCCAACCCGAACCCTACCTGCCCTTATCCTAATCATAGCCAGAGGGAAACAGATCTCCAAACAAGACCCCGGGACTTTGTCAGACTAGGCACAATCACTTTTTTCTTACACGTTAGTAATATCACAACAATTTAAACCATGCCAACTTAGAGGCTACTTTTTAAATTCCAGCTACAGCTAACTCCATCAGAAATAACGTTAGGCTACATTTGTCCGTCTTGAACAAGTCTAACTAGGCGCCACACCAAGCTTTAGCCCGCCTCTCTCTGGCGTCATTTTTTTCAGTTCGGAGTCGCCATCTTTGTTTAGCAGTTACTTATACTAGCTAACCGCTAATTTTCACAATTTTCAGCCAAGAAGAGAGCTTCGCTGACCGACGGCAACAGACATTCATTTTTCTATATACCATATAACGCACTGGAGCCAGAAAATTAACATAGCCTCATCTCTTGTGTAGGTATTCCTACCTCCTTTTGTGCAGTCCGTCCTACTGTAGCTCCTGGAGCACAACTACGTCGATTTTCCTGCATTCCGTAATAACTAGCACAGCAACTGCGGTCGCCAAATGAACACGCCCCTCGAGTGTGACTGGCTAACACCCCGGAGTTCCACGTATTTCATTGGCCAATCTAATCGCCATTCAAAGTGACACTAAACGCACGTTTCTCTCACACCCACAGCGCCGCAGCAGTACACTTGGATGAAACATAGAGCAGTGCGCGTTTTCCTAAAATATTTATTGACTTTGAGAATAAAGCAACCACATATCAAAAAGAACAGTGTTTACATATACCTTTTAAATGAAAACTGAAAATCCCCAAACGCTTCACTTCCAGACCTGAGTGTCACTAAAAACACCAAGATGTGAAAAAAAAAACATTAAACTTTTTGTACCAATATGATATTGCATTGTTGGGTTGCATGAGGGTCTTCCGTTATTTTCATACATGGATTTATTTTTGAAATGCATGTCGTTCTGTAGGACTTTATCACAGCATGATGTTAATACTTAAATGGGAAGATTTGTCCAGATAAATAAAAATCATTTTCAAAAATGGCAATGTTAAATTGTACATCTATTCTAATAGTCTAACAATTATATTGGTAACACTTTGTCAACTGCAGTGTAGGCAAACCCACAGATATAAATATTCAGTGCATTTACTGTTTCCCTGTTACAACTAAGAGTTGAACAGCACATAAAACATCTGCTGCCTGAGCAGATGTTTTCTTTCAGCATATCTTCCATCTATCAAGACAGCAAACATATTTTTACAGTTGTGTGGCTGATCTGTTGTACTGCATTACTGTGAGATGCCTAAAATAGAGTTTTTCATTACAAACTGATGAGAAAGCAGGTTAAATGCAGTAACCCTATACAATCCAAACCATATAAAGCCTACCATCAGTTAATGTACATATGCTACCAGATTCTGTTGCCAACAAACAGCACTTCTTCAGCTATTTTGGCCAAAAACAAAATTTAAACAATTCAGATTAGACAGTATTGCGCTTCAATCTCATGACCCTGTAGTGGAGGTATGCCAACAACCCGTCTACAATTTTACACAATTAAAGAACACGCAAACATTTTTCATGACTCATGTATTGATTATAAACATTTAGTCTGAAGGTATGGAGTCAAAAGACAGCTTGACATGATTAAATCAGACCACCATTAACTGGCAGGCATACACTTCAGTTTCCACATTTACATCCACAAAGGAAATGCATAAATGAAAAATGACCACAGATGACCTTTGATTAGTCTTTGAAATTGCAAATACTGTATTGTATTGTATTGTATGCTGTGCTCAATATGGCCATCACAAATTGAGTGCCAACAGAAAAACAGCTTTATCCAGCAACTTTGAGTGACTTGATTAACACCAGTGCCATGGAAAATGATGCCTATCCCAACGCTGCTTATGCCTACCTTTCAATGCAAGTATAACCTTAAAAGGCTGCCTCGTAGGGAAACTCATGGACAAGTGACGGTTACAGGACAAAATAAAAACATCTTCTCTAGAGGGATTTTTTTTTTTTTTTTGTTGGCAATTCCTTCATTGTGACCACAGCAGGTAGACGTTTACACTCTTTGAGCCCTTTGATAAACCACAGCTGTATATCCTTAGTATGAACATTGTCCGTTAGTGTAATCTTTAGAGAACTAAATATGAATAATTTAAAACCATTAAAACAATGACTGCAACACTCAAAATCAAGCTTATTTTACTTCTTTTTGTAATTTTTTTTCTAGTAAAGTGTTAAAAAATATTTCATGTTTGTTTTAAACATTTTATAATCTGTGTACAAGTTTACCAAATAATGCAAGAAATCAAATCGATAAACATCAGTGGTGGAGCAGTCATATATTTTTCTTGAGGTTATGGCTGTTTATTAAAAAAACTGATAAAGATGGCTTTGGAGACATGCACTCTCAATCTGCTCTGTACAGGCTTGAAGAAACATCCCTCTGCCCAAAAAGAACATAGAAGGGAAAGTTTAAAAAAGGTAGAAAAGGGACCGTTTTTTTTTTAAAGCATTCACTTAATAAATAATATCCAATAAAAACATTATAAAAACACAACTGGTAAGAAGACCTAACAGGTAAGTGATGGAAACGTGGTAATTTCTCACGATTTCAAGACAATGACTTCTTCTAAAACAGTAATCGGGTCCCATCATCACATTTCATTTAAGGAAAAAAAATGTTCTCTATACGTTAAAAATTTTTGTCCTCATATTTTATAAGCTTTTGAAGCCTATCATTATTGCCTCACAACTGTAAAAAGAACTCTTGTCTCATTTCTCTGGTGTCACACTGAAGCCCATTAAAATTGATGGGTGCCTTCCTATACAATACTTTAAATGGACGTTTGTGAAGTCTCGTACAACGCAACTACCACCACCTGATCTGGAACTCATTTGGGTAATGGCGGCAGGGGCGGAGGGGGTTCTGAAGGCAGGGGTGGCGGCCTGGGGTTGTTGCCCCTGGAACCACCGCTGTAGCGGTAGTCCCCATATTGGGATCTGTATTCAAACATGGACGGCTGGGATGGCTGAACACCCTGTGCGCTCAGAAGCGAGTTCAGCATTTCAAAAGTGTCCTGGTACTCGTTCGACTGGGCTCCACCCGCTGCACCGTGTCCATTAGTGTCCGTCTTATCACTTTTGGAGTGTGAATAGCCCACTTGGTGGTGGGGAAGTCCAATGGTGGGGAGGATGTCGGGACTGGGCCCCACAGTTTGCCCAGAGGAGGAAGACAGTGATGGCAGCTGGTAAGGATTCCTAGAGGACTTGCTGACTTTGGAGGGAGGGTGAGAGCCTGCTGTGGGATCTTGAGAGTGTATCCTCTTACGCGAGGCTGAGGAGGATGAAGAACCTGTTCTAGATGAATCGCTGGGGAGTTTTTTGCTGCTTCCTAATGCCCCACTGGAACTGGATGAATGTTTATGTGAAGAAAGCGAGGCACCGCCAGATGAAGAATGGTGGTGGTGGTGGTGATGGTGATGGTGGTGGTTAGACCGTTCCCTGTGCTTGTCCCTGCTCTTGCCCTCCTCTCCAGAACTCCCTCTTTGCTTCTCAGGCACTCGTATTCTGACTTTGATGTCCTGATCCTGACCTCGTCCACTGCTGCTGTGCCCACTGCCTCCTCCCCCTGCTACAGGGAAACGCATTTTTAGAGTGCTCCTGTCATGCCTCTCCCTCTCCAGGGGGATTTTCAGGATAATGGGTGAAGGGTTGGACGTGTCAGAGGAGCTGGACTGCTGGTGATGCTGCTGTTGCTGCTGCTGCTTCTCTTTCCTTTGCTGCTGACCAATGAGAGCCTGGGCAGCGTTGGCATAGTCCCTCTTCACGCTAGCTTCCATGTTCTCAAGCTTCCTCTTCTGGGCAGCCAGGACATCTGCATGCTTGGCACGGTACTCACTCAGCGTTACCTTAGCTGGGGTGTGGACTTCATGGTTGGGCTGCTGCTGCTCAGATCCTCCTTGGCTTTTTCCACTCCAAGTCTGAGCACTGCCAGATGCACCCTTCTCCTTATCACCCACGGATGAAGAAGAAGAGGCAGATGGCGGAGCTGAGAGGCTCATCAGGCCTGCGACAGTGCTCTCTGATGAGGCCATAGAGATCATGCTCATCATAGTGTCCCTCTGGTCACCCTCCTCCTGGACTTTTGGCTTGACTTTTGGTGTTTGACCTCCAGCCTTGGAGACAAGAGAACATGAGCACAGAAAAGCCAGTCAACAAAAATTCTGCACAAAGCAAGAGGATTTGGTTGTGCTCTGGGAAAAAAGTGTACCTTCCAGTTGCGAATCCGTTTCAACCGGCTAGGTGTTTTCTCCAGGATCTGCAGGAACTCATGTGTGAGCTCTGAAGCAAGTTACAGGCTACAGTTAGCAGATCAGCCTCTAACTTACATAGGACTTGTGGTACTTTTCAAAACATGTTCCTGCTTTTACTTTAAGTAGACTGAATTTACAGACATACCATCCAGCAATTCGAGGGTGACTGTGGGATCAACATACTCCCACCAGTGTTTGCCGTCTGTAGACACAGGGATTTCCCAGTTGGACCATTTGCAGGCGAGATGGATGCACACGCAGGCCACAACTGGTGGACTATACTGCAGGCAGAAAGTGGTCAAGTGGAGACTATGTGGCCGGATCCGTCCCAGAAGGCAAGAAATAACAGAAACAGGAGGATAGAGATAGAGATAGATTTCAGTATATTGAGTTTTGTAGGATTATGCACCAAAAGACATGAAAGCACTGCAGAATTTTACTATCTAATAGCCGAAGTTAGTGTTTGAATCAAAAAACAAACAAACAAAAACAAAACAGCCCGTGTTTTACAGTGAATATACCTGTTGGTAGCCATAAAGTATGACGTTTGGGCCAGATCCTTACTCGCTGAAATGACAACAAAACAAATACATAAACTTAAAACCTGCCATCTAACAACTTCATGTGCAAATT